GTGCTGTTCGTGGTTGGAGCGGTTCCCCTTTGATCCCTGCTTCCTCTGCCTGAAACGGAATCACGTTCTGTGCTCATAGCAGGTGCCCTCTGAAATTCCCCCTGCAAGTTGCCCTGCAAGTTGCCGCCTGCTTCTGTTCCTGGCTTTTTTTTTTTCCAATTTATTTTTTATTTTGGGCTGTGTCAGGTCTTAGTTGCGGCAGGCGGGATCTTTCGCTGTGGCGCCCGGGCTTCTCTCTAGTTGTGGCGTGCGGGTTCTCTCTCAGGTGTGGCGCGCAGGCTCCGGGGCGCATGGGCTCTGTAGTTGTGGCGTGCGGGCTTCAGAGCGCATGGGCTCTGTAGTTTGCAGCACGCGGGCTTAGTTGCCCCACGGCATGTGGGATCTTAGTTCCCTGACCAGGGATCCAGCCCACGTCCCCTGCACTGTAAGGCGGATTCTTTACCACTGGACCACCAGGGAAGTCCCTGCTCCCGGCTTTTACACTTCCCACGCTGGCCCTGCGGCTCACCTATCCCCACTGGTACCTGAATGATTGTCAAAAACAAGAGTAGGGAAATGGATACCAGTGGTGGTAGCTTCTATTTACAAAGTGCGTGTGGTAATTGAGCACTGCCACACATTTTGTGGTCATCTCACTTGATTCTCAAACTCATGGTAAAATGATCCCATTTCACAGACGAGAAAACTGAAGGCAGAGAACTCCAAGGACTTTTCCCAAGGTCACATGGGGGATAAGGACCCCCCAGCTGGTGTGTTGCACTCCTACCTCCAGATGGACCAGGCTGGTAGCCTGCATTCAGACTGTGCATCTTGGGAGCGGTTGCAGCTAAAGCAGCCCCCAAATCTCGGGACTCCCATCTGACCACCCACTGAACCAGCTGGAGACTGAGTGCTTTCCTGGGATCTCCCACCCCAGTGAGTTCCTCTCAGATCCCTCTCTAGCAAGCAAAGGGCTTTTTCAGGGGCTTTCTCCCAGCAGAGCTTTGGCTCCTTCTTTAGGCTCCACCCAGGACAGGCGGTGTGGGGGAAGGGACTGGGATAGGGGACGCACAGGGATCAGACACAGCAGATGCTCGATCCAGGACCAGGCTCTCCCACAACTTATCACAGGAGTTTTCTTCCAAGAACTCCATGGGTCTTTCTAAACCAGCCTCCTCTCTGGATCCTGGACTGTGACCCAAGTCTGTACGCACCTGCACCCCATTCTGGGCTGGGTTCAAGTTCTCCTGCGTGGAACACTCCTGGCCACAGCTCGGGTGGCCTCTAGGGGACAGTGTTGCCTAACTCTGGCTGCCTGGCCGTCACCTGGCTGTGGGCACAGTTCTCTTAGAAGTGGATTTCACGCTGCTGAGAACTTGGATAAGATACAACTCCTCTCTCATTGTCGGGCAAAGATTTATCTTTTCATTGTAAATTAACAGCATGCCCAGAAGTGCAATTTTTTTCACCCTCAGGAAGTCTATGGTAAAAATCTCACAGGCATCCTAGAGACTATTTCTCATTCCTTTATTCAGACGTTATTTTGGGCGTCACGTGTACCACTTCGAAAGCTTAAAAATAGACTTTGTCTGACTCATATTGTATTAGATATGCATCAGTTCATCATCGCTTGGCATTGGAAATGACCTTTCTCTGAGACTTTTTCCTCCAAAATGAATGAGAATATTTCCTGTAGGACCCGACAGAGGAATTCTAAAGGGGCAGAGGCACTTTGGGCCTTTTAATCATGGATTTAAATGTAGTCTTGCTCCTTCTACCTCAGTTTTTTTCCCCTTTTCAACTGCGTGAACCCCTCCAGAGCTGGGCCCTTCCCTGGCTCCGCAGCCGGCTGGGCGGTGTGCACCCTCCACCATGGATGCGTGTCAAGATGTCCAGGCTCTTGAAGGAATTAGCTAGTTCTTTCAGAACTTACCAGGAAGAAAGGAAAGGGTTTGACCCACACATACTCTTGGCACTTTCCCCAGAACCAATGGGAAGAGAGTTCTGTAGGATCTGGACTAATTCCAGCACTTTTTCCCTCGTACTGCACTGTTTTTAGGTGTAAAAAGGTTTAAATGCGGCACAGTATTAAGTTTACCAGACTAAGTGACATATTTTGAACAATTGGTTGGAACTTGGACGTGTTTTGAAAAATACCTAGAGAAAGAACACTTCTAAAAACTTTATGATTCTTATTATCAAAATTTCTCTTACAAGAACAAAACTGTAATAGTGGCTAACATATGTTATTTTGAAGAAATATGTATCGTCTTGTTGAATCTTCTCAGTAACTCCCTGGAGTAGGCATTATTACCATGTCCATTTTACAGATGAGAATGCCGAGACATGGATCCGGGGAAGTTGCTTTAGGTCACACCCTAGGAAATGTTAAGTCAGGATTTGAACTCGGGCAATCTGGCTTCAGAACCCACGCCTCGTAATCGTTATTCCATATTACAAGAAAAGTGTTTTTTAATTATTTGTGGATAAAACACTTTTTAATTGAGATATAATTGACATTAGTTTCAGATTTACAGCATAATGATTCAGTACTCCTATATATTGTGAAATGATCACCTTCCCATGGAAGATTTTTCGTGGGAAATATGAGAGCAAATTGGGAGATTCTTTATGGTCATAATGCTTTCATCCTTCCTATTATTTATAACTGCAGCAACCAGTTTCATGGGAATTTAGAGAACAAAACAAAACAAAATGAAAAACAGGAGTATGTTATTGATTGGACCCTTAATAGATGTGCAAGGTATCAGTCCCTATTTGGTCTGTTGATGAATGGTGTTTTTTCATGTTGAAATGCGGTATCAATGTGAAGTGTGACCAGGTCTGGAGGCCTCCTTTCTGATACCGTACTGACTTTGCGCATAGGTTGGCGCTGCTAATAGGTTTGCCCATGTTGTTCAGGTCACTTCATCACCTATGGCCTCTTTTCCTTAATCTGTAAGATCACAGAGGTGAACCAGCCTCCTTCTAAAATGCCTATAATTAAAATCCTTGGATTGTATGAAATTTGATATCTTACAGAGATGGGTAAATAATATGATTCAAGTTGACATTTTAACATTTTTAGTAAAATTAACTCTTAGGACCCCAAGTACTTGACTAAAAGTAAGTTCTGTGCCAGCACTCGCCTTGTTTTTAAATTTACCTGCCCTATTTAAATACTTACTGACCTAACAGGAGCCGGCTGGCAAGACTTTGTTCTCACCTGAATACATGTTTAACAACAAAAGAACTCTTGAAAGGTTAGCTTGGATTTGCCATCATTAGTCGTTAGGGAATTGCTGATTAAAACCATAATGAGATACCCCTCATTTTGAATGGCTACAATTAAAAAGACCGACCACGTTGGTATCGGTAATGATGTGGAGGGATTGGAGCTCTCAGACACTGCCAGGGGCAGCGGGGGCCGGGGAACGTGAAATGAGCCACTTTGGAAAACAGTTTGGCATTTTGTTAAAAAGTTAAACATACACCTACCATATGATCCAACCGCTCTGCACCTAGATGTGTACCTACAAGAAAGGAAAGCACAGGTGCATACGGAGACTATACACCAGTGTGCATAGCGGCTGTGTTTGTAATGGCCCCAAACTGAAAACAACCCAGATGTCGTCAACATCTGAGTGGATAAATTGTGGCGTCGACACAGAATGGAGTATTACTCAGTAACAAAGAGGAGAGAACTGTTGATACACGCAGTAGTATGGATGAAATCTCAAAATAATTATGCGGAAAGAAGCCAGACCAAAAAAAAAAAGAGGACCTACTATATGATTCCGTGAATGTAATTCTTTTTTTAGAAAACGCAAGCTAATCTGTAGTGGCAGAAAGCAGGCTGGTGATCGCCTGGAAGGAAGACAGAGGGAGGGATTACCAGGGGCACGGGAAGACTCTTGGGGTGATGGAGCTAGTCACTGTCTTGATAGCGTTGATCTTTTCATGGGTTTACATGTGTCCAAACTTATCAAATATCGAAGTATTTTAAACTTGTGCCGTTTCTTCTGTGTCCGTCAGGCCTCAGTAAAGCAGTGGTGCTGTGTCAGCCACGAGGCCGCGTGGCCGGCAGTGTCGGGGCCCCCTCTCTCCCCGCAGCTGGGGCAGCCGTCTGTAATGTACACATACCTTACCATACGGGAGGTGATTATTCCATCCCCGGGGAAGCAGGAAGCCTTTTCTCCACGCACAAACTGCTCCCAAGCCACCAGGGCCCTTTCAGTTTAATTAATTGTCCTTTCAGTTCGCTGAATGGCTACCCAGGGACCTGGAAGAGGCAGTGGGCTTCCCAGAAGCGGTCGAGGTGCTCTGTCCCCGCCAGGCTGGAAGCAGTCCTTGTCCCAAGTAGTCTTTGCCTAGCCATGTGTGCGAACACCTTGTTAATGGTCATGACAATGAAGGTGATCACGTGTTCCCAGTATGTACTCCTGTCATCGAAGGACTGATCTGTGTCCGGGTTGACCGTGGCCTGTGTTGGGAGTGGGGACCTGGCAAGAGCCGCATCCGAATCTCCTGCCGGGCGTGGTGACGGGTTGATTTTACCACGTTATATGTTTCCTTCCTTTTGAGGGATGTAAAGCCCCCTGTCTGAGCAGCAGTTTAATAATTAGGAATGGACTGTCATGCTCTTGCTAAAAATAAAACTATGCCTCTGCTAAGTAAGAGTCAGAAGACGCATAGAAGAATGCCCGTTAACGTTTAGCAGACGTTCCAGCTGTTGGGATTTTTTTTCTGTTTCCTCTTGCACTTGGGTTGGGTCTGGGAAGGACTGGGAATGGTCGCTGCCCTCCCCTTTCCTTTCTCTCCTTTGTGACAGTCCCCTCGGGCTCTCTGCCTGGTTGTTTCTTCACCTCGCGTCCTGCTCTGTGTCCCACTGGCCGCCGGCACCCCTGCCGCCCGCCTCCCTCTCAGCTCCCTGGGAACCGCTGCCACCGGTCCCCTCCCGGCCCGGACCCCCCAGCCCCGGGGAAGCGGGAAGGGCCGGGCTCACAGCGCTGTCCCCACAGCTGTGGACATGGCTGGAGGAGCTGCAGAAGGAGCTGCTGGACGACGTGTACGCCGAGTCTGTGGAGGCCGTGCAGGACCTCATCAAGCGCTTCGGGCAGCAGCAGCAGACCACCCTGCAGGTGACCGTGAACGTGATCAAGGAAGGGGAGGACCTCATCCAGCAGCTGAGGTGGGCCACGCCCCGTCCCCGTCCCCCGTTCCCGCGCAGACGTTCTGAGATCTGCGGGGGGCTTCCCCTCCCCCTCACTTTTTGGAACCATTAGCTATAATCCTCTGTCCAACTAGGCAGAGAACGAATAGCATCCATGCATGCAAAGGAGACCAACATCACTCTCTCTCTTTTCCTTTCTCTTTTTCTCTCTCACAGTGTTTTCACTCTTACGATTTTTCTCATTATGGCATTGACTAATACGCCTCCCCAGGATTCAGGTCTTATTAATATTTCCTTTTAACAGCTATCTAGAAATTACTGAAATTTCTTTACAAACCAGATGAATTTAAACCTCCCAGGACCACGTCCTTCAGGCCCTGAGCAACCTGCTTTTCTACGGTGAGGTGGGCGTCACTCCTCTCAGAGTCCAGGCTCAGCAGGCCTGGCCTCGGGTGGCACCAGGTGACACTCAGGTGCTCCTAGTGGCAGGAAGTGGGGAGGCAGGCTGGGGCAGAGGGCATATCCCTGTCCTTGGGTCACAGGGAACCATCACGTAAATTCAGCGCCCCTGCTGGATCCCTCGGGGTAGCTTATCTCATCGCCCCTGACAGCTTCCCGTGATGCTCGCTTTTCTGAGAGTCCGGCAGACTTCCTCGATGAAGGCTCAGTTGGCTGCATTACAGCTTAACCCCACAGCTGACGTGGCTCCACCATTTGTAGTGAACGGGTGCCATCTGTTCTCTACTTACGGAGAAAAGTGGCTGAAGATGAAACTCTACGACATGACTCACATGACTGTTAGACTTCTTCTAAGAGAGGGGCTATGAAAAAGTGCCGAAGGAGTTCCTTAGCGTATGCTGAGATCAGGGAGGAAGGCCTGGCTTGTCTGGCGGGAGGGGCGGCTTATTCCGTGTTCCGAGCGGGGCAGTCCCGCTTCCCGCCGGCTTCTTCCCCGAGGCCCCAGTCGCCGGTTCTGGCCTCCGGCAGGGTGAGACTCTCCCATCCAGTTCCTATTTGTCCCTCTCCGCCCCTTCTCAGGGACTCTGCCATCTCCAGCAACAAGACCCCACACAACAGCTCCATCAGCCACATCGAGACGGTGCTGCAGCAGCTGGACGAGGCCCAGGCCCAGATGGAGGAGCTCTTCCAGGAGCGCAAGATCAAGCTCGAGCTCTTCCTGCAGCTGCGCATCTTTGAGAGGGACGCCATCGACGTGAGTGTCCCCCCCGCCCCGCCCACCCGGGCCTGCTCCCAGAGCTCCAGCACCCCTCCTCTGCCCCTCGCCTACTGCCCCAGCCTCTGTGCCGGGAGGGGGAGGGGGAGGGAAAGAGCGGCTCCTCCCAGCTTGGCCCTGGGAGATGGGGCCTGGCTCTGGGGCAGGCAGGTGGGCAGCGGGACAGACACCACACAGCAGGACAGCAACGTGAGCGAGCTTTGAGAGTGGATCCAGGCAGGGCTTCTACAAACAGGGCCACCTTGTCACCTTGGCTTGTTCATCCTTGATTGGACCCCTCAAAGCAGTCCCCTTGTCCTGGAAGCAGAAGCGCAAGCTCAGGGCAGTGATGCTCTTCCTCCCTCCTTCCCTCCCCCCCCCCGCCATTCCTCTCCCTTCAAGAGTGAGTGTTCCCAGAGCCTGTGGTCATAAGCTTGTACGTCCCAGGAAACCCCATTTTTTCCCCACAGAAGTGTTCTCAGGCGATCTGTAATTCTTACCTAAAAAATGGACTTTTGCACCTTATATGTGACTGGGAGAAAGAAGGACAGGTTTCTTTTCTTTTTCTTTTCTTTTTTTTCAGAAAAAGGTTTCTTTTCTTTTTCTTCTTCTTCACAGAAATGTTCTCAGGCGATCTGTAATTCTTACCTAAAAGATTGACTTTTGCACCTTATTTGTGACTAGGAGAAAGAAGGACAGGTTTCTTAAGAGGGCGGTTCTTAAATTCTCTGCCAGGCAAGATCTTTTATTTTTGAACTTGATGAAGTACAAGCAGAAGTAAGTATAATTGGATGACGCTGAATCTGTGTGTGAAATATAAAAGGAACCAAAACTCCGTGGGTGAGACTGGCTTCCTGGAGCCAGTGGGCTTCATGCCGCTGCTGGCAGGGACCTGCTGCCTGTCCAGGTACCTCCAGGCACCCCAGGTGGCCCATGCCTGGCGGCCAGAATCTGTAGAGCCTGCTGTCTCCGTATCTATCACTTGTCCTGCGTTCAGAACAGGGACTTGAGGGCAGTGGGGTCCGGACCGAGGCGCCATCGAAGGCAGAGGGATGGCAGGGCTGCTGCAGCTCAGGGGGACCGTCTGCCCGAAGTGGGCCTTGGAGCTCGTCCCTTGGTCCCGCCCCGAGTGGTGGTTTGGTGTGTGTGCCTCTCACAGGGGCCTTTGGTTGCCTGCTTGTCTAATCTTCCATCAGTGTTTTCATTAAAGAAAGGCCGTCTTGGCTGTTTCATTGTCATCACTGGTTGATGACAAGAAAGGAGTCAAACCCTGCACATGTTGCCCGGTAACAGCTACTCAAGGGCTCTGGTCTTAACCTTCCCATCCACGTGGAGCCACATGAAGAAGAGGTGCGCTGGTCTCAACTCACGGTGCCGCGCCACAGCTGCCAGTTTGCAGCGTTTGGGGGTAGCCAGGGTCGGGCGCATCATTGGGGGGTAGCCAGGGTCAGGGCGCATCATCGGGGGGT